CAAAAACCTCCTTGAAATTGCTTTAGTCACTAGCAGATTGCTGCGGTCTTCAGTAAATTGTCCAGAAGATGCTGACTTTTAAAAACTATTCGACAGGTGGTAGTGAAACTGGGAAGACAGGGTTGTCCACTAGTCTCTAGGCTTGTGTGAGTGAGGCCTAAAAATCTACAAGCTATAAACAATGAAAACAAACATTAACTCCTAATTCAATACCTGCTAGCTATTAGCTCAACTTAGCTCACTGCTAAATGGCTTTTAATTGAGAGTGGTCAGTCTTTGCATCTAGCTTTTTGCAAGAAAGCAAACATCTATTTTATTTCTTTGTTTAGTGTATCATCCAGCCCTATTGGACAGTATGGAGTGCAACTGGAACAAAAACATCTGACTGCAAACTTGCACTGTGTTTTATTAGTAGTCTGAAGTTGCCTTGAAAGCAAAAATGTCAACCATGTTGTAACTAAAATCTCGTCTACAAGCATCTCAATGTTAAAAAACAAAACAATCTGTATTTAAATGTTGCAACAGTTCTTTGTCTTTTGCTTTACCTTTGTCAGAGCTTGTACTGTACTTCAGTGTTGACACTGCCACGTTATGACGTTAGGGCCTTTTTAAAGCGCCTTTATTTTCTAGCTGTGTTCAGTTCTTCAAGCTTCCATACCTACACTGTGCTGTCTTATGTGTCTGGAGATTAAAGCAAAATTGTTGGTGAGTGTTAATGTGACTTTGTGGCTATGAACAGTTCTATTTTAATAAAAAAACTAACAGACTAGTTTCCGATTGTCTGTGGCATTATCATACAAATAAGAAAAAAAAAAGTCCTGCTACTCGAGCATGTGTATGGTTTTTAAAGTTTGGGGCAGTTTTACTATTCCTACTGCTGAAAGTGTAAAGAATGCACGAACAGTGATTTTTGCACGAGTTGCAAAAAAAACACACAAAATACAGTTTCTGCACAGCTGTGTTCAAATGGCGTTCAACTATATGACAACTGTCATAATAATAAAGCAGACACACACAGTGCTGTCATTGTGGGTTTATATTTTTTTTTAAAACTTCAAGGTAACCAGTCATTCACTATCACATCAGCAAGTGCACTACAGTTATCAGATTCACAGCTTGGTGTCACAAGTGCATGAGAGATTCTTTCAGATTGTGCTCTGTTTGCCGTTTCACAATGACTCACCATGACAAAGATCTGACTCAAAGAACATTTCTACAGAAAATGGTTTCTTTGGCTAGCTGTGTCCCACACAGCAGCGTCAGGGCATCTGAGATGAAAACTTAGCAGATTCTAAATTAAAAGGTGAAACATACATTTTGTGCAGTAGATCATAAAACAGAAGAAAAAAATAAAGTGTGTAATCAGGTTGCAGCTTCTTACAAATTACGACTTAAATTACAAACTGCTATGCAGGAAAGCATTGGAAAGGAACACCCTGTAATCCATGGCTGGAATAGAAAAATAAAATATGGCACAAAATTAAGGCTTGAATAAAGACACAGCTTTTAACACGTACTAATATTGCACTTTTCAAAGCGTAATTACAGGAAAATAATAAGAAAGGTTGGCACGTGTCTGACTAAATTAAACATACTTTATAAAAGAAACAGAAGGATGTGCAGATAAGAATAAACAGCCAAAGCTTCAGTGTACACTGAGCAAACCGTGGGTGTGTTTTTTATGGAAACGTTCGTGTCTGTTGTTTTGAGATCATGTCTCAAATATCTTCAAAGACTAAGTAATCCCAGCTCTTAATCTTGATAAACTGTGTAGCACTGAGATATTCAGATTATTGTAAGGAATCAAAGCACTGTTTGGTTTGATTTCAGTTTATTCGTCTAAGAGAAATCCAAATCTCATATCTTGTGCCCAATTATTGTTGGTTAAAGGCACCTTGAAATGCCTTTGGGAGTTATTTTTAAAGCATAATCTAATCTTCCTATAATTTAAGTGGATGCTGGGATATAAAAAGATATGTATGATACAAACTGTCTCTCACTTATGGTGCTTGCAAGGAAATATCTGAGGTAATATGAATTTTAAACAAGTTATTTTTATCTTTGGCAAATATTTCAAGTCCATCTTAAATGCATATTTTGTCTTCAAAGAGTTAATGAAGGTCAAACAGTGTATTGATCATATTTACTGAACGAGGCCTGTTTGGTGACCGTAGTTGGATTAAACCTTGGTGTGCTTGCCTACAGCCCAACAAGGGGAGCTCTGACCAGGGCTAGTCCTGGGCTGGACGCAGCCCTGACCACAGCTATGTGGTTGTTTGTTCAGCCTACCTGCTCAGAGCTAAATACAGGCACACGATAGATGAGGGACGGCAACACACTTTTACTGGAATGAGGGAGCGTCTACGACTGGAAATCACTC